AGTCGCCTTTTTTTAAATGCCTTAAGAGCAAGCTTCTCTTGCAGCATACTGAACAGCCCTGGAACAAAACGCAGTAGGTCACATCCTGAGTCAAGAACTCTGCTGCATCATACATCTCCTAAATCCAATTAGAACATCTGACTTCCTGGCTGTCAGACACCTTGCACTTTAAAAAAAGCATTTTTAACTCTGATTTCAGAGTCTTTTGACAGTGGGTTTAAAGTGCAGAGGTTCTCCAGTGAATTTTGATAAGCACAAGATTTGTGGCTTTGACTTTTCGAAGACTAAAATGGTTTCAGAGTGAGGTTTGAACCTATCAGTGTTATTTCAAATGTTCCAAATATTTAGACATTAAAAGAAAATTACCTCAAGAAAAGAAAAAAAAACATTAGAACCACGTTGGCCCTATTGTAAACATGCTACATGCTGGTTCTATAAAAAAAAAGAACAACCCGCAGGCTATTTACTACCTTGCAAATGCTGATTTACTTATTACTACTCGCCCTAACATGACCTTTCAGTGAACCTTTATTTGTATTGATGATTTCGATCTTCATATTTTTTTTTTCTGCTTCCCCTTAAGCGCCACTGGATGATGGTGCATGTAGGAAATGGATGAAATGTGAATGACCCTGTGAACAGTGAGAGTGAGGGAGTTCAGTAATCATTTCTCCTATCAGACAGCCATCGAGCATCTGTGATGGGATTAAACGTGGAACCCGAGGGGCTCCTTCATAATTACGCTGATTGAAAAAAAGAGCCACTTAAAAAAGCTCTGTCAATCATACTTGCACTGTTTTTATCAATGATTTTAAGGAAGAAGCTCTGAAGTCGTTCCTGTTGAAGGTAAATCCCACATTCTACAGATTTCAGCTCAAACCTTCAGATTGATTAATTTTCCAAGTTTCCATACTCAACCTTGGAGGTGGATAAGTCATAAACATGACTTTCAGGTCGACTGAGTCCATCACTCTGTAGACATGCGTCTCTGCATGTGCGCGTGCTCACAAATGCATGAGTAAACGTTATCATTCATGCATGAGTGGAGTATCTGTATGTGTTTCCAATACAGTCTGAGCCAAATTCAACAGAAAGTGTTTGTTTATTCGTATATTTCTGCCTCTGTTGTGGTTTCACTATCAATTTAATCTAAGGACTTATTCTGGTCGGCTGTTGTCGGGGTGAAACTCCCTCTTGATACAAAACTTGGCAGGAACCAAAGGAAGCTCTGCCTCTCCAGCTGGAAATTCATTGATGCATGGCACCAGACGCCACGTGTCACATTCTTCAACTGCCACATGCAGTGCATGCTTTTTAGAGAAGGGCACCAAAACAATGGCATGTAAATAAGCTCCAACCTGCAGGATGGTGTAGGGGAAAGATAATAAGGACAAAGGAGGCACTCCACACGAGAGAGACTGATCTGTGTTTGTGATTCACAGAGGATAAAGTTTGATGGAGAACTTTAAACAGGTCGTTTTGTTCAGCCATAAATCCACCGTTAGCACAGCGCAGCTCATTTGTCAAACCTGGAATAACACCATAATAGCAAGGTGAAGGCGAGATGACTCACTGTGTATCTAAGCAGATACAACAAAGAATAGTTTGTTAGTGTCACAAACCCCTGGAATACCATACATTTTCATTAATTGGTGACCATGTTAATGAAGAGT